TATTTTTCACATAATGTGCATACATATCAGGTCTGGCTCCAGCTATAACGTGAATGTGCGCAATGTCAGAGTAAACTTTATTTTACCTTTCTTCCTACATAATTTTTTTTAAATTATTTTTACACTAAATTTGAAAACTAAAGGTATGGCTCTTGAAAGAGACTATGAAGTGACTTTAAGACCTAATGTACAGATCTGACACTGTTGGTTGCAACATCTCATTCTGAAAATATAGCCCTACATACATTACTGGAGATCACAAATTATTAGCCAGAAGTATGTATGGCTTCATTTCATCTTTAAAACGAATGCTACGGGGCGGTAAGATGTCGATACTTTCATATGGACAGTATGGAACATCACCACTGCACATCACGACATGCTTGCTATTGCTACCAGTCCTTTTTTTTTTTGCAACTGTGTTCGGTTGAACCTGTGTGACGTGATGTGTGACGTAGGTTGGTAATTTCCCTATTGGTTGGGTTTAGGGAAGGAAGAGGGTGGGTCAGGCAGTCAGTCAGTCAGTCAGTCAGTCATTTAGTCAGTCAGTCGACAGCAGCCTCTGGTGGATTTACGCGAGAACAGCAGGTGCAAATGGCCCTCGCCAGAGAAACTTTTAAAAGCGCACAACGGCCTCTGGTGGATTCGCAAAAACAAAAACTGCAAAAATGAATCTCCTGGGACATATTTGCCACTCTCCAGAAATGTATATAGAGGAACGTTTTCAGTGTGAGCAGTTGTGTTTCAAGACTTTTTTTATTTTAAGGGCTGAGATGAGATATTAATTCCCAACCTCCACAGATTACTTGTTCATCTAAAAAACAGCAATAGGTAACACTTTATTTTGATGGTCCATTTGAGTATTAGTAGACTGTCTGATTAATATCTGTTGATACTGCTCCTTCAACAGACATTCAACTGACTATAAGAAACTTTGCAGGTAGATTTCAACTTACACTAACCGTAACTCTAACCCCAGCTTAACAGTCTACTTATAATCTATTTGAGAATTAGTTGGCATGTAGATACAATGTTACTCAAATTCAACAAATGGACCAACAAAATAAAGTGTGACCCAGCAATATAATCTAATACATGTTACTGGAAATTGTAAAATTTTACAGTTGAAGAAAAAAAAAAGTTTTGTTTATAATGTTTATAGTATTCATAAATCAAACAAAAGATGTTAAATTTCTTAAAGACATTTCTTTTTATTAAATCCTATTTATTTATTACAATTATTAATCACTTCTGCTTACAATTATTTATGCTTGTTTAAGCTATTTCAATTGCTAATATAAAAAATGCCATCCACACTCACTAAGCTGCTTGGGCATTACATTTGTTTACATATCAGCTCTCCATGATCTAATTAAATCTTACAACAATTTAATATATTCATCACTCATTTACACTTATGATTCTTATTATTTTTTAAGCTGTACAGTCTTTTTCTTCATGTCATTGAGCTGCACTTGACAAGTTCAATAGGCCTACACAAAAACAGTATAGTATACAGTAATGGTATCAAATTAACCCACAATATACTAGCAAATCAAGCAGAAGGTGTTTACCAACTCACGTTATCTTCAATAATTACCTGGAATTCATTAGAAAAGATGCAAATTACAGAATTGTCAACCCTCCAAATATAAATATGGCTATGGTGTATGTTTAAATGGGAAAAGAAAATGTGTTTGTCAAGAAATGCAGTCTAATTTGTAATAAAGACAGACTCTTTGCAGCATTTACAGTGCAGTGCTGCATAAAACTTACAAAGGGATCAGCTTTCACCCCTTGTCTCACCCCCGTTGATTGGGCACGACTGACTGCTACCTATAGCAGGAATAGCGAGCATTTAACCTGGCCACGTCACATCAGCCTGCCCACTCTAATGAGCAGTCAGTGCTGACAGCCCCAGACCTGCAGCTGTGCAGACCGCTGATCCTCACACACACGCACACACACACATAGCAGCCTGGCCACTCTATGGGTAATGCACCAGATCACCAGCGCCTCTCTACAGATGGATGCCCACTCAGTGCCTGCGTGCTTCTTTATGAGTGCTGCAGAGAGCCGGGGAACTTCAGCCTCCACAATGCATCCATCCTGCGCCAGACACTCAGGCAGCAGAGCCCACAGCAGCTCCTGTCTGCGCTCCTTCTTTAAGCACAGCCTCCAGAGAGCCAGGGTTACAAAGTATGAAGAATGGCTGTCAGTCGTGCCTCAAAAGGTTTACCAGGCTTAAATTGTGACTGAGTGCATTCTGAGGATGTGGCGGATAGGTGCTGTTCTCAAGAGTGCAGAAAGTCAATAAGGAATGATGCCAGCCTTGTTTCACTTTCTTTCTTTTTTTCCATTTCTTCTCTGTATGATTCATGTATTTTAGGAGTTCTGGTGGTGCGGAATGTGTGGATAAAGAATGGGAATTGGATTAAGGAATGTATTTATTCTTTGATTCTTCATACACTACACATTTATTGGTTATTGGTTACTGCACATTTTAATAAAAAGTTCTTCAAAAGAACATCATTTAAATATTTTAATGATCTAAATATAATTTTGTTTACTATAAAGAACTGTTTGTGTACACTGTAAAAAAATCTGTAATTATTATTATTATTTTTTTTTCCCCCAGCATCTAGGGTACTGGAATAAAAGTAAAACAATTGGTGATAAATTACAGAAATTTACAGTTAAATAATGGACTTTAGATTGTAAAAAAATCCTTTAATTAAAATTTCTGGTAAATTTCTGTAATTTAAGGTAGTTTTTTTTTTTTTTTTTTTTTTTTTTACGTTTTAAAATTACGATTTCTTTTACAGTGTAATGGAGGAATGTTAATAGTTTTTTTTTTTTTTTTATGGAACAATCCATGCCAAAATAATATCTAGAAGGTTAAACCTTGCCTTGACTTATTACCTAAATGTCATGATTTCACAGTTGTAAGATTTCACTGTTTTAAATATTTTCAGCTAATGCAGTTCGAGCCAGACAGGACTCAAGAACGTTCTTATGACTTGTATCCAAAATGTTTATAAATGAACCTAAATTTACTGTTTTCTGAATTAGCAACTACTAAAAATGCCAATAAAAGCCATGTTATTTACCTTTTCAACCTTAAAGTTGTCAGAGCAGAAATTATCATCCTATAATGTAGTTTGTAAGTGTAAATAATTGGAAAACACCAATGAATTGAAATTTATAATATGTTGTATGTATTTTATTCACTAAAAGCATAATCTCTTTGCATCAAAACCAGAATCATTAGCACAATTATGGCAAGAACAAACATGCTGCCTTTTGAACAACTAATCACTTGAACATGGCAAAGTTGTAATTGTGTTTGTTATGAGTAGAAAGCCTGTATAAAAACTAACAATGGTTTTATTACAATGTAAAAACCAATTAGTTAACTCAAACGATTTGAGGAAACCTATTGCAACAAACCGTTTAAGTTCAAAAACTAATTCTAATGGGTGCTGTGAACTTAATACATTTTGAGTAAATGAAGCAATTTAGAGCACAGTAAAACCCTTTAAATGAAGAGAACATAAACACATTGAGTACTGTAAAATGCAGTAAGTTAAGGCAACAAACTGTTTGAGGAAACCAATTACTACAAACCATTCAAGTTACTCTATATGAGTTCTGTGAACTTACTTTATTTATGTTGAAGTAATGAGCCATTAAATAACTCATTACCTACAACACTGAGTTCAAAACTCTTTTGAAATTAGTAGAATTAACTTTCAGTCAATGTTGAGTTAACTACACTCATTTAATTTCATTAATTAACCCTGACTGTTGGGTTTTACAGTGTAAAAACACAATCAATCGATTAATCAATCAAAAAAAAAATATCAAGCAAATGTTTTGTATGGTAAACAAAAAATTGCCATGATATTGCTACGCTGACTATATCAAAATATTTGTAGCAAAGCTGTAGTTGCACAAATGGTAATCAATGTCTCCAAAAAACTTGGCTGATGCACTTACTAATAAAACCATGGGAAACAAATTATTTTGATGGTCCATTTGAGTATTAGTAGACTGCCTTCTTATTATCTGCTGATACTGCTCCTTCAACTGACATTTTACTGATTATAAGAAACTTTGCAAGTACATATCAACTTAAACTAACCCTAACCCCAACCTAACAGTCTACTTATAATCTAATGAGGCATAGAGATGCATTGTAACTTAAATTCAACAAACGGACCATCAAAATTAAGTGTGATTAAGGACGTTTCAAGGCAGCATAATTGATGTCACCAAACGGAATACAATAACAGTTCATGTCGGAAATAAAATAGTTTTTGCTCATATTCTGCTACAGTGTTCGTTTCCTTAATTGTAAACTCCGTCGTTATTAACAGAGTTTAACTCCACTGGCTTACGATTTAGGGGAACACCCGAACCCTCTAACTGTTTTTGGGCGTTTTTGATTCACTAAAAGAATCAGCTCAACCGAGTCGTTTATTGGAGAATAGTATTATAATGCTGTGTTTTCGATTTCATTTTCATCAATAATCAATCTGCACAGATCGTATTGTTTTATTATGCATTACAACGTCCTCTAACAGTCATTTGTTTAATATGTGTCCTACAAAGGTTAAACTACTTTTAATCCACTATTCAGTTGGCTATTGCACTGCGTTGTATTAAATAATCAAGCATGATCAGTCATTCGATACAACATTAGCGATGTTGAAATAGCTGTAGCATATTTAAATTCCAGTTCTATACATTGTCAGCTGTAACCCTTAACTAAACCACGTTATAAAAAAGCAATAGCACGCACAACAGGTATTGCGATAGCTCTAACTTCGCATATAATTAAATAATCCACATATTCCTCCGTCGACCAGCGGCGTCATTGTTTTCCTGTGCTTCTTCAAGTCGAATTAAAATTCGCAAGTAACTCCGAGTTTAGTTGCTTGCTGTGTAAAAGTGATGTGTTAACATGTCACATTTTGCACTGTACAGTTCTCTCACGTGGCACACATCCCTCTTGCCTTCAGTGTCGAACCCACACCATTTATAGCCTCGCAGTAACCTACAATCTTATTATGAGATTTAACTTTGCCCTAACTGGACTTGTGGATGAGCAGTGCTCTAGTCCCGCTCCTCAACTCAACTAATAAATGACTGGAAATAGTTATAAGGCGCTGTCGCTCGCGTTATGACAGACAAAACTACTCTGCCATGTCTCTGTCTGTGCGGAATACATAAAGGCTCTGCCTTGAATTAATCACTCGCTCTTTAATGGATCTTTGAGGATCGCGCTTGACGCAGTGAGGAGCTGCAGCTCTTTGTATTCCGAGGCCAAGAGGAACCTTGTGCTTTTTTTGCCCCCGTCCGGTATCTACTGCCTCTTAGAAAATGTCAAGGGGGTACATGGTGACATAGGGACCCTGGTTTGGTTACGGAGAGACTCTTGCTTCGCTCTGCGAAAGAGGTAAGTGAGAAATGCTTTGGAATGTCGCATCTACGTCGCTTCAAATGTTGGGTTTGTCGGACGAGAAACGGAATGAGCGCAAGTGTATTCTGAGAAATGTAAGTTATCCATGTAGCTCTTGTACATTCGCGAAATTGCAACAAATGCCTCGTTGCGACTTGTCGAACTTAGAAATGCATCGTCTATGGGTAGAGTTTGACTGCGCTCGTAAGAACGAGCGTTAATTTGCTTCGTTTTACATTAATGCTGAATTGTATCGACGCTTTAATGTGTACGCGACTTGTGAGCGCGTTCTTTTGGAATCATTTGACATTATTCATGGGGTAATTTGACACGCGATGCATTTCTGCGATATTATGGGGATTCATAAGCTACATTAACCAAGTAAACGCGCTAGTTCAGGTTTGCTGAACTCTGAAGCGTCTCACTTAGCGATGTTGATGTTTGACAATCTTATGTTTTTATTCGCTTACATCTCCAGAATATCGCCAAAGGTTTCAGGACCCTGGACAGCAGCCTGGGTTGGTTTGCCGCTAGAGTTCGCCTTCAGCCATAAAACTGACAGCTGATAGCCTCTTTCAGTCTTCAGTCACTAGATTTTACCGAGTAGCCATTTGTGCGATATGTGCACGGCAAATAAGCTTATCTTAGCAGATCGTGTGCGATTACAAAAACAAAGCTGCGAAAGTTTTCCCATCCGAAACCTGTGTTCATTTCCAAAGTGGTGTCCACTGAAAGTGTGTTGCTTACTGAAGGCTATTTTCACAAAGACTATTTGTTTTTACCCGTTATGTGTAGTGTTGGATAAAAGCGGTGCATGGCTGTCCCTATGTGGAGTTCACGTTCAGATTGCTAAATTAAGAAATCATTTGAAGCTAGAAGACTTATAAATTATTCAGAGACATCATAATTGAGTTAAGATTGAATGCATGACAGAGGAATAATTCCATGGGATTCAGGAATATGTGAACCAGCATTTATGCTTTAGAAAAACTTTTTCTTTAAATCAACAGTTCACAAAAGGGAGTTTAAATATAGAGAACACATGGGAAAAAAATCACTTGGTGTCAGTGTAAATGGTTGTTGTATGTGTTGTATGCTTTAAACTGGGGAATGTGTGTACAGTAAACACAATTGATTTCTTGACTTGACAAAACTGTACAGTTAAAGTTTGAGACTCACCCTCAAAATGATCCTCAGCATAGTAGGTCATCCGAGCGACACGATTCAAGAAAAGAGCTCAGCTCGTTGTGTTACTGTCAAAGCAGTGTATTCCAGTAAGAACTGGATCAGCAAACAGAGCGACGTTGTCTCAGCTTGTAACTAAAGCACCCATGCTCCTCAAAAGATTCAAATACACTTGGCAGGACAATCTTTTTTTTTTTGTTTTCTTTATTTTATGACATAAATGACAATCAAAGTTCTCTTGAATGGATTTTTTAGGGATTTTAAAAGATATCCAGGAGGAATGTAAATAGCAGCGTCCTAAAGAGATGTTTTGTTTTGACTAGAACGTATTCTCAGAAAAAGTACAAAAGAGCCATCACTGTGGTAATAACACTTAGATATTATTTGCTACACATTAGATGCTGATATGTACCTGTAAGATATAAACATTCACCAATTAATGGTAAGAGGGGTAGAAAGGGGTTTTATTTAAAAAAGCTAACTTTTCCCACAGTGACAGCTTTTGTATATTCTTTTCATCATGAGAGTTTATGTTGCCTGTTTTTAAAATATCATCATAGTTTTAAATGTTAAATGGACCACATATTTATTTTAAGTTAAAACAGGGTCCTATAAATAATACTAAATAAATAAATAAATAAATAAAATAATTATAAATACTATTTTAAAAATGCATTACTGTCAGTAAAAAGCAATATTTATATATATATATATATATATGTATGTGTGTGTGTGTGTGTGTGTGTGTGTGTGTGAAGCTAAAACAGGGAAACCCTTAAATAAATAAATAAATAAATAAATAAATAAATAAATAAATAAATAAATAAATACTATTTTAACAACTTGGTACTATAAGTAAAAAAACATGAAAAAATCAAACAAACTACATTATACAATATTTAAAAAATAATAATAAATAAAAATCTTATTGGGGACATTAAGGCATTCCTGAGTTAAATCCAGAATCCTAATAAGCCCGAACTCTCTTAATTAGGATCTTAGTGCATGTTTATATTGCTAAAATCATTCATTAGAAAGCATACCGTTGCTTTACAGCCTGAACATATATAGCATCCAGGCGAATTGCACTCCTTAAACTTCTGATGGACTGAAAATCACTTAATCAGTTGTTAAACAGCGAACCTAATTCATTCTCGACTTTCGTCTTGTGCCTAACCATAACGCACTTTTAAGAGAAGAGTGTTTCACAAAACTAAACCATCATTTGTTAGATGCGTGCATCTCTCTTCTCTCTCGCTCCATCTCTCTTATCTTGATTATGCAGCTTGAAGATTGAGTCAGCTGTTTTGTATGCAAGGTGTCTGAGCCAGGCTCTTTGTGGAGGAGAGAGCAGTCGTGCAGCGGATACAGAGAAAGACAGAGAAAGTGAGAGAGATGTATAGATGGATGGATGGATGGATGGATGGACAGACCATATGTATATGTGCAGTGTTGGAAAAACAATGCTTATTATAATATCATATTATCTGGCGTTATGAAAAGCATTTGTGCCTGCAGGGCTCACACAAAGCGTAACGAATGATGAATTATGTGGCCGCCCAATGTGTTCAGTTAATACATGGAGTCATAAAACACAAGTGCAGTTGTTGGTGTTATGTGAGGCGCAAGGCTTTTATAGCAGTAGGCATCAGTGTAGTGTGTGCTGGTAATGGAGAAGGACAGCTGTGAAGCCATCAGTCGGAGAGATGAGTACCGTCATAAAGGGGGGAAATTAAAGACAATATTTACATAGCAATCAAAGCTATGAGATGTTTGCGATTATTGATTTATCATTGTGGAATATAAGAGTTGTCTTGTGGATATATCCATATATGTTTTGTAGTATGATAAAAAGTATCCAACCAGAGCAAGGCAGATGTATTTTAGTAGATATTTAAAAATGTTACTATATTATGCATAATAAATGATACAAATATGATACATTTGATTAGGAGTTATATTTGTTATATATTAGCTGTTAACACACACACTTGCACACACGCACACACAAGTGCACATACACACAAGCAGACATGCACATGAATATATGCAAGCACATGCGCACACATGCAGCTTCACTATTTTTGTATTTGCTTAGTTTTTTACTTACCATGGCTGCATTATTAGAAAAATGAAGCAAATTTTAATAAAATCTGTAAATTTATTGTTGTTTTTATACCAAAATATTATCGAAATTTTGTAAAATGATAGAATTGATAAAGGAAAAGTAAATATTGTAAGCAATATAGATAAGAACTAATGTTTTGAAAAAAAAAAGATTACACTGTCAATTAAATAAGTTTAGTATTTATTTCATTCAACAATAATAACCCAACTATTGAAAAAAGGCTTAAATTGTATTGCTTGCGAACTAAATTAGCATGCACAAAAATAAAGCAACATTTACATATCAGAGTTATTAATTAGTAGACTATTGTGCAATCTGTCGGACAGTGATGGGTGCATGATGCGTTCTCTTGGCTTAGTACCATGTCTTCGACAGTGGTGATATTTTCAACAGTACAGGCAGTGCGTGGACGAAACTCTCTGCCAGATGACATGCTGATCCAGTATGATAAATTTTTGCCAACAAATAATCCAATCCACCTTTTATCCAGTTTTTAGTCAGAAATTTACAAAGAAAACATGAAGCATTGAAGCCTTTCAGGTCTTGTACACCTTTGATCAAACTCTTATCTTCATTCAAAAGCACCATTTTTATTTAAGCTGCATGGGCCACAGTTTGCTTTAGACATTTTAAATTACAGATAAAATGAATTTCTTACAATAACCCCACATCGGCATCATGCTGGAACTTTACCCAACTAGGTGAGACAATAAGAGCCCTATTTCTCTGTTCCTCCATCAGTCTCTTAGAGCTGAGTCTGAATGGGGAAGCAGGATCTGTCCGTGGTCCTGAACCCTTCAACAGGCTGCTGGACTTGAGTGCCTCACTGGCCTTTGATTCACTGCCATTTGAAGGATGTACTTTTGATGGATGTTGCTTGTTTACACACCGAGACGGCATCCTTTTGATTTTAAATTGATGGAGATGTTGTAAGCCTGTGGCCATGTCCCTTGCGCTTCAACACACATTAGCAGCTGGATATGTCTTGCAGCAAACAAAGCTTTTTACTATACCTGAATGCTCCAGAGGCTTCGATAGATAGTGGCATGAAGATTTGAGACTAGGTTGGTTTTTGTATCCTGAACATAATACCTCTTGGCAGCAATGTACCGATGCATTTTGGCATGGTTAGACTGTGAGTTTAAGGATGGTTTGAAATGTTAAAGGGTTAGTTTACCTAAACCTGAAAATTCTGTTATCATTTACTCAACCTTTACCTGTTCCAAACCTGCTTGAGCTTCTATCTTCTGTTGAACACAATGATTTATCCCTGTAAGTAATTAAAATCCAAAGTGATTGCTCAAAAAATATAGATTTAATTGTGTATTATTTAATAATTATTATAAATAATAATAATAATAATAATAATAATAATAATAATAATGATAATAATGATAATAATAATGATTACCCTTCTGATGGATTTGCAATTTTATGATTAAATAGCAGTTTTTTATTACACATTTTGTAAAATGATATGTATAAATATGCAAATTAGGTTATATTCAATGCATTAAATATGCATTGATTTGCATACATATCTAGCGTATACATTTACACATTGGATAAAGCCAGGTTCAGTATTTTTTGACATCAGTCAAATGTTCTTGCAGAGGGTTTATTTTTCCATAATATATAACAAAAATAATATATAGAAATACCATAAACAGACACAAAAAAATAA